GAATAAAAAACATTGGTTCTCTCACTCATTTTCCTAGAGCCTTTCCCCAAAAGAAGATACCCTCATTTTTTGGCCCTCAATCTCTTGCGCGCTGAGTTCAGAATTTCAACAAATACCGCATAAGACATCAAACCTAGATCCTCCAAAGAGTCCAAAAATGACACGTTTGAAGTTTTTGGGCCTGAATGATTGATGTGCATTTGGCCCGCATGTTTAACTCAACTTTTTGTGGGTGGGGTGTTACAGAAATATGGTGTCCCCCACTGTACCCCTAAGCTACAAAGCCTGATGCAGTCAGATTCATAATCTAATCACATGCTCCCAAAAACCTAAATGCTCTAAGGATCCAGACCTGCTGACGGGCTCATTCCCCTGCATGCAGGTACACCAGGAAAAAGTAACAATCACTTGATGAAAAGTGACGTCAGGATAAGTTCATAATGCTACCCAGGATGTACCCAGCTCCACTCTAGTTCAGCCCCCTGGATCACACAAAGGGGCCATTGTAGTTGAATTTCAGTACCACCATAGCTGCACTGGAGTTGTAATCAATGCTACACAATGTCCCCTGTCACCTGGTGAGCATTCTCTTTTCCTGGTGGTTCACACAGCTATTTGAAGCTCAAGACTGAAAATCTGTCAGAAAAGAAATGGGTCCAATGGGTTGGGCTAACTCTAGGTGCCTGCTGCTTTATCACTAGGCTGCAAAGCCTGATTCAGTCAGATTCATAATCTAACACACTTGAGGTGGTTAGTTGATGGATTTGATAAATCCAGTGGCCAAAAAATCAGCCCAGCTGAATTCCCAAGTAATTATCTGAAAATATTGTTTGAGTGTCCTTATTCTACTATGTCTGAGTAAACCTACACATTATTCCAACTACATAATCAGTTACACTAACAGTTAGTGTAACTTTTAATCAGTTACGCTAACAGTTAGTGTAACTTTTATTCAGTTACGCTAACAGTTAGTGTAACTTTTAATCAGTTACGCTAACAGTTAGTGTAACTTTTTACCCAGTTACGCTAACTGTAAGTGTAACTTTGCAAAAAGTTACACTAACATGTAGCGTAGTGGGTTCACCCACTAACACCGCTAAAATTTCACTAACAGGATTTTGGGTAGTGTTAGTTGTACCTTTTTAAAGGCAGCTAACACTACGCTAAAGTTTTTTTTTGTTTTTTCAAAAATCCTGTAGCGTTGTTGGGCCAAAAATTTCCGCTAACGGTAACTTTTGTGTAGCGTAGCTTAAAAAGCTAACACTACGCTACACTAACACTACGGTTAGCGTAACTGGCCCACCGTTGTTACATTCCCCTCTATGTGTTGATATCTGCATACAGAGGGGCGTGCAGTCTAACCTGTCCCAATCTTGGAGGGATGGGGTGTAATAAACCCCCATCATTTTCAGGTGGAGGGAGAAATTTATTCTCCCTTCACTGATGTAAGCATATTTGTTGCAGTGATGGGCAGTTACGTTATCCAGTTATCCATTGATTTCATGTTTAAATGAGTGTTTAGAGATCTATATCTCAGACTTTCAGAAATTAAATGAAGCCAGAGGTTCATCTTGAAATGATTTAGAAAAATCACTAGTCGCAATGTGTAAAACTCAACCCTGTGAAAAATTATCCTTCAAAATATAAAAACCAAAATTAGTTATCCAGATCATTGGTTACAGATAAATGAGTTTTGGTGCTATAATAAAGGATTTCAGATATGTCAGTTGAACAAAATCAATTGGGAATGAGCACATGGTGCCGTGCAATTTTCAGTATCATACAAGATCTATCTCAATTTCATTGCACCCTTGCAGTATATGATACAACCGTTTACAGGCAAAATTTGATCTGGATACAGTTTTACTTACATCAGTGAAGCTTTCACTGATTATGGTCTTCAAAGTTAAATTTCATAAAATCATAACCACATAAATCATAAGATCTTAAAACCTTGTTTGCAGGGGATCTTGGTAATCTGATTATGTAAGCCTTGGCTTTCCCAGCCAAAATGTTTTATGATTATATGATTTATGCACTCTATGATTTCATGCATTTCAACTTTGAATACCATAGATGTATGTAAAACTGCCAAGGGAGAGTAAATTTCTCCCTTCACCACCATACGCAAGCCTGATGGCCAGGAGGAATCCCTCCAATCCCTCCTGGACGTCACTGACAAGGTACATGGATCTTGTTGGCCAGAAGGGTTCCCTTCCAGTCAAGGAGGTCCCTGTACCTTGTTGACCAGAAGATAAACTTCTGGTCAAAAAGGTTCATGCAAAATGTTGGAATTTTGCTCCTTGATCTCTTTTCCTCATCTTTCACATCACATGTCACTCATTTCTAGAACTGTTGTTGTCCCATTTCTTATTCACTATGCATCTGACTCTGCTCCCACAACTCATGCATATTTGTATCTAGATTATTTAAAGACAGTCTAGTACCAAGAAATAAAATCATCAGTCTTAGCTATTTTTGATCTGGTCCTAAGTGGACACTTAAGCCTCCATTTAGCCTTTCTAAAAGCACACTTTAGCCCGCTTGTCTAAGTACAAATAGCATCTCTCAGACCTTGTCTGCTTTCGGCTCTGCTGACTTTTTCCCCTCATTGACTCTAATTTCATCACAAAAGGTAACCTTATGTTCAACATAGAGATGGGCGCATTGAATCCGGATATCCGCTCACAATTTCAGCGGAACCACACATCCGTATCCGTATCCGCATCTGCCGGCGGATACCCACCAGCGTTGGCGGGTATCCGCGCGGACCCGCCCTCTGAATGGGCGGCGAGGCAGCCAGCTCTTCCAGGAGATTTTACAAACAAACCCCGGCCCCCTCGGCCTAAGGGGGAAGAGGCCACACCGTTGGGAGGAACCCCTCCCGGCGAGCGTCTACAGGCCAGCTCGCTGGGAGCGGTTCCTCCCGGCGAGCTGGTCCTCCCGACGAGCTGGTCTGTGCTTGTTGGGAGGAACCCCTCCCGACGAGCTGGTTTAAAAACCAGCTCGCCGGGAGAGATTCCTCCCGGCGGTGTGGCCTCTTGGCACTGGGTATCCCTTGGGATACCCGGATACCCGCCAGTATTTCAGGGGGAAGGGTGCATCCACACCTGAATCTGCACCCGCTGGCACTGGCGGGTATCGGCCAGCGGATAGCGGATATCCGCGGCGGATTATCCGCGACCATCTCTAGTTCAACAAGGTTCATGTACCTAGCAAAACTGCCCCAGCAATTTTTCTCACATTGCAGCAACCTTAACAAATATGCCTCAATCTTCCAGAGCAAACATGAGGCAATGCATCTAGACCTTTTCTGTCTTTCTGAAAGCCACACAGGTAAATAATTAGGCAAAAATGTCTGCTTAGTTGTTGAGAAAAGTAGGAATTCAAGACAAAGTGAGCTGAGTCTCATTTGGCTTCCTCTGTTTCAATTCAAATAATGATCTGTTTTGTTTGATATATGGCATTGTGAGAGAAATTCAAAAAAATACAAAGTTATGGTAAGCAAGCTCAAGAAACTCAAGGAGAACCAATTTCCAGGGGGGGTCACAATGGAAACACTGCTTTTCCCACATCCTCAATTAAATTTCTCAGAAAGTTCCATGACTTTTTGGAAGTCAGAAGAAAAACGAGAAAACATAGAATCAGAGTTACCCATAGATCCTTTTCTTGATTGATTCAATTCCTTCAATCAATCAATTGAATTGGAACTTCATTTCATTTATCTTTTCAGGTTTGTATTATTGCTAAAAGATCCAAAGTTCTCTCCAAATTCAAAAGCAAAATTTTTCCAGATTTGTTTTTCAAAAGAGTGCCAGACTCCACATAACATCCAAACGGATGTACAAAATAATGTAATATTGCCTTATTAATTCAACAAAAAATTGACCACCCAGAGATATGTAACAAAACTTTCACTGAGGCAAGTTCAACTACTGATTTCAAAGTTATTATGAGCAAAGTGGAGATAATGGGCTACCTTCAGCACCATGATTATACCAATATTACACTCTATACCCATGTAACACATAATATTGATATCGTGGGGCTCTAGATGGCCTGAGAGATCAAATTGGTCTCAGCATTAATGAAACCAGTAGTTGAACTTACCTAAGGAACACTTTTATTACATATTTCCCATTGGTTTATTTTTTATTGAATCAATCAGGCAATATTACACCTGAATTTGTGATGCTGCCAAATGGGCCCTCCAAACATATTATCTCCTTTCAAGAACTCCCATCACCTCACACTGGTTCCACAATTGCTGATTGGCTTGTCCAAAGCTTGGCTGAATGGAAGTCCATAAGCAAGTGTGCCTTCTTGACAGTTGACAATGCATCTTCAAACAACTCAGCCCTTACTCAATTCAAAATGATTGTCTGCCATTGCACCCAGACAGGTTAATTTAGAGGCAGGTGGAATGTCTTGTCCTGTCTGTGTTAAATTATGCTGCACCAGTTCAAATCACAAGCACACAGCAAAACTGGCAATTGTCACTAGCATTGACAAACCTATAAACCCTTGGAACCTAGCTCCCTGGCACAATCAAAACCAACATTGATTGCCACAATGTCTACCAGTCTTTTCTTCATGCAATTTTTTTTTGATGAAAATTGAAGCAAAGACTGGGTTGTAGCAATTCCCCTCAAAATCATCAATTGGTCAAGAAATAACTAACAAACTATTTTCCCCCTCTATTTCTTTTTTCTTTTTTGTTCTCATTTTTCTCATTACATAGATTGTGTCTTGTATTGCAACCTTCATCCAAAAAAAAAACCCTCCTTGACAATCCCTCTGCATTACAAAGGTACGAGTATTTTCAATCTCAAAAACTGTGGTTTATTTATCAATTATCATATCTAACTATCCTATCATCATTCTCTTTTATCTCTCTTATATCTCTTAGAAGTGTTCTAGTGTGCCGGTGATAATAATTGTGTTGCGGTGTGTGTGTGTGTCAAAAACTAAAACAATCAAAAATCAACTTGATTGTTCAAGATGGCCTTTCAGTAATTCTCGAGGCAGCCCAAAGCAGCTACGTTGATCCATCAAGTACATCAAGATCAGCCAGGCGTGTTGTCGACAATTCAAAGGAGCAATGGAAAGTGTCTGCAACATCAGATTAAATATTCTACCATCCAAGGATCTTGCCACTTGATGGAACTCTACATACATACCTTAATGATTCAATCTGGATTGCCTTTCAAGATGGCTTTTGAAAACCTGGCCTGGAAGGATACCAATTATCATGATTGCTCAAGCCACCGAAGAATGGTTGCAATTATCTAAGCTACCATGAAGTACATATTTCCTCGATATCTTTTGCAAATGTAAAAACCTCATCTCTTTCTCTTTTTCTACCGTACTTTATATGCCTTTAAATATAAATGATAATCTCCGTCTGCTTTTTACAGCAACTGAAGACTTATCGGCGTCCAAGTATCCCATCTCTGACCGACCTGAGAATACCGAACGACACCTTTTAATGCTCAGACAGACCTCCTCGATCTACAAGCAAACGCATTGCTTAGAGCATTGTTGAACCAATGCTGAAGCAAGGTCTACAAATACAGCGCTTGTATTTGCCCCTCGATCGAAGTTGTCGCGTGCCCAATGTATTGGGCCAGAAGCACCAATTCACAAGTGGCGTGGGGGCTAGCGATTTCGTTTGTTTTTTGGCGTCGAAGTTTCGAACTTTAGCTGGCCTTAATGTATCTGTGTACTGCTTGTCCGTTTCTATAAGGTACTCATATATAAAGCAGGCTTCTTTCAGCTTGTCATGAGCCTATGATCTCTAACATCATCCTATTATATCTTTAAAACCCCTTGGGTGAGTCTCTCCTACATACCATATAGTCTCAGCTTCCAAATTCAAAGCAAATGTATACCATAATCCGAACATCGCTCAAAATCGTCTTCGCTGTTGCATCGATTCTCGGCCAGACAACACAACCCTAGTATGTGAAGAAATAAGATAAAGATTTCCGATGATTGTGAACTGAGTATGATGAGGTCTTGTTCATTTAAAATGTGTAAATAGGCTCGAATCGGTTCAAGACAAATCCAAGATGAAGCTCATCATAACGATTGTAGCAATGACCCTGGACATGGTGGTGACCGAAGTCACAGCAGCTAGAAGAGTGGTGACGATCGCGGTACCACCATGCGGAGCACTTGGCTACTGTGAAAGCAGAATAGCTGGCTGTTCGCCAACCCCTCATAACCGTGATGGTGGGTGTATTAAAGCTCCTTATAATTCATCATCAACTTGATTTTTATCCAGCAGCTGAATTTACTGAGACTTTTTCTTGGGCGGGGGGGCGCTTCTAATCAAAAACAAAGCCATCCCTGCCACCCCGTATGGAGCAGCCATATGCAGAACCTTCTTCTGTCCCCCGGGCAGATCGGTGGTGTGTGGCTGATCTGATGTTGTTCACTTTTTTCATACAAAATGTAAGAGCACTCGATCGTCCACCTTCAAATATTTCACACAGCCTCCCACACAACTCATTCTCGATCTTCTATCACATGTTTAGATGATCAACCTCGTTCGTTTTCACAATACGCCCCTATATTACTTTGAAATCTCGTAAGCATTGATTATAATCCGTCTTTCACGTTGCAATCATCTTTTATCCGCCCGTTGTCTGGTCACTGGTGTTGACCGCTTTGCCGGGAATCCGGCTGGCTTTTTGAAATGCATATTTCGCTCTTTGTTATGTGGGTCAAGATCTGATTGGTTTTTTTCTAATTTACCTAGTAATCACTCAGCCATCCTTATTGCTTTTTTTCTATCAATCGCTCCGTGTTTTTTTTTTTATTGTTATCTTTCCCGACGAGTCTTGCCGGCCAGGGGCGAGCCGAGGGTCCATATATTCTATGTTTTCACGTTCTGATCACCAACAACTGGCTTGCTTCAGAGTGATTTTCTTTCAATCGAACTCCCAAAGATTCTCCCAAACACATCCGTTCAAAACAAAGAATAGATGAGAAACCTAATTTATAATCGGTGCCTTTTTTGGAGACTGGTGGTTGTCACTGCCTTTCTTCCTCGCATGCTTATCTTGTTATATCTGCCACATCCGACACCATTCATCCAATCAGAGACGGTTCCCGCATCCTTTCAGCTGTTGATCTGGATATCAATCACGACAAAATCAAGAACACGCCCCTTTCTCTTCATGGATCTGGATCTCCATCACCAATCGTGGACCGTCAATCTCAAGATTTAGTTAGAACCTGTGCACAAAATGGTTTCAAAATCATTTCAGAAAAGCATACTCCCATAGTTATCAACAGAAGAACCACCCTAACTGTCATTGATCTTAACTGGGAAATTTTTCTGCTTTTAAACTTGTTCAGTCATGCTGTACTACATCTGCTAACTTTGGTCCAGATCATCAAGCAATTATCCTTCAAACTTAATTTTAACCACAATACCCTTCAAGAAAACCGATCCAAATCTTTCCATGCCAGTTTGTTGCATCCAAAAATTATCTTGATCATGTATAAGTTTTTTAGTAATTGGGGACACTATCCATTGATCCCTATTTTTGTAAAATCCGCACTTGCAACTGCACTAGCCATGGAGATTGTACACCATAGCTAAGCAGAGCCACCCCTATGAGAACACGCTGAGCTTGAAATGAATGTCCAATATTTCTAATTACTGCTTGGGAGCCAGATTCACCTTTATATAAGACAATGATCCCAGTCCGTTAACCCAAAACACAAGGTGAAGCTGCAGCCTATGAAGATCAGGTGCAATCATCTATATTGCAAGCAGATATCTCCACTTTGGTGGTGGTGATTCAGTCTGCATTTGATCAAAATGTCTCCATTTTTGCCAGATCATGGAGCTCTGATGGCACATGGAATGGGGTCACATTCAATACCAGCTGACTTTGATCAACTTGACCGTATGTTTGCATCAACCATTTTCTTGTCTTACTGCAAGTTCTATAATTTCATGAACAGATTCTAAAATAAGACTTGCACCAACTTAATTAGGAGGAGATCATCATTTTTTGAAGAAGCAGGATGGATTTTCTGATGCAGACAAAATTTATATGGATCCATACTTAAAAAAAAAAGTTGAAATGCTTTTGGAGCTTGCAGCTGGTCAAGTGAGTTGGTTGGAACTTGGAATTGTCCTCAGATGAACACGATGGACTGGTGGAGTGGTCTAGTGCAAACATGGCTGGCCATGCTTGTGACATGATTGCTTCCACTGGCAAGACATCAAGAACAGCATATCCAACCTTGTCAATTGCATCATTGGCAATGGAGCTTGACTCAAAAGAATCAGAAATTTGATTTCAAACTTTCTCAATCCATATCAGAAATAGATACTTGATTCAACAAACAAGATTTGAGTCTAGATCATCCACAAATGAATTGACTGGACTTGTTCCAGGGAAAAAAAAGGAAAGATCATGCAGGTTGTTGAAGCGCAGTGATCACCTGGAAAAATACCAAGCAGAAGATGGGAAACCTTCTTGAATCAGTTGCTTCACTTCCTACTTGACTCATTCATCACATATATTCCTTCCCCTATATATATTGTGATGTGTGAGCAACTTTGCTACTCCAGTAATTCATTTCAAGCATTTTTTTTTTTGAAAATTCTCTCAACACTTTTGTTCTAGCTGATAGACCCTACAGGCAAGTGTGACATAAACAGGTCTTCCTATGCTCATAACTATCTATGGTACAATAGCACCTGTTTCTTCAGACTGTCGTTCTTCTCTTTTCTTGTTTCATTTTACTTGTATATATATATTACATCAGCATAGAATAGGCAAATCAAAGAAGTCTTTAATCGGTCTCGATAAGACCGTAACATGAGCAATAGTCGGGGTCGTGTTTGTGTTCCCTTGATCCAAGCTTGTCGTACATCCAAGTCGGCTTTTTTTGAATGGTTAGGGAGAGGAAAAAGGGTTGGAAAGAAGATGGAAGAGATGTGAAGGGTTTTTCCCCCTTTTTTTTCTTTTCTTCTTTTAGATATGAACTTTTTGGTCCATTTCTATTTGAATAGAAAATTCAGAAAACCAAGTGAAACCGAATAAGACCAACCGGAATTCAAATGATCAAGAACAGATCAGATTAAAAAAAATCGTCATGAAAAGGAGAGAGAGAGAGAGAGAGAGAAGGGGAGGGGAGGATAAAGACTGACCGACGTCTTTGACTAATGGATCTTGTTGGAAGCTTTGCAATTTCGACGGTTTCAAAGAGACCGCATACCCTTTAAGGATGATTGAAAAATATTCATGTTTGATTTGCGCTCCTTTGTAATTTTTTTTAGCAAAAAAGGATGGGATTTGATCAGTTCAATGGTAGCAAGATACGAGAAAAAAAAGGAGAGAGGCTGATGTAGAGAGGGGTCGGGTATATATGTATATATACCTTGGTCGATCAGTTGTTGTTTGTACAGCTCGTATTGTTCTGTACATGGAAAGAGAGAGAGAGAGTGAAATGATGATTATCCATTAGTAGCTTCTTTTGGACTTGAAGATCGACAGACGAAGGAAGGGAGGAATGCGCACCTTTAGTGGTGTCCTGTTTCAAAGTGACTATCAAAAAAGAAGGAATGAAAGAAAAAGGGGGAATCATAGTAAACCAACGGAGCAAAGAAGAAAGAGCGAGTGAGAAGGGAAGAACGAACTGATATAATCGATTTTAGGTTCCTGATCCGGTTCGGGGCTCTCTGAAGAATGAGTGCCTTGGGCGGCTGGCTTGGGGCCCTCGTTGGGATCGGAGGCCAGCGGATGAGGATTCGACGGATCGGGGTCGTTGGTGTGTTGGTGGAGGGGTTCGGGACGGGGCGAAGAGGAAGAAGTGGTCGAGGATTCAGTCTTCGGTTGCGAGTCGGTGAAAGCGGAGGTCAGATGGGGATGGGCGTCGGTGGATTGACTGTTGCTCAGATGGAGCTCCTCTTCTCCTTGGCTGTTATTGACTGCCAAGATAAATACACCATTAAGTTAATTAGTTGAATTTCCCCCCAGACCTCTTTTGTTTTTTGAAATGGTGGGGGTTCGTTTACCTGACATGATCGGTTCCAGGTGTTGGTGGCTTGCAGATAGGAGGATGAGGACGATAGTGATTATAGTGGTAAGGATAAGAATGAGGAATGAGTTATTTAAACAATTCTTTCTCATGCTTTGTTCTCTTTCCTTTTTCTTTTTCTTGTTGTTGTTGATTGTGTGCAAGGGTTGTTCTTCAGACTCACACTAGAACTGGTTCTCTTCGCAGTTGTCGAATCAGATTAAATTTTCTTCCTCTTGACCGTTTGCTGTTGGTTATTCTTGTTTTCGGTTTTTTGGTGGTTCTCCAGTGAAGTTGCAAAAGTTTATTGAAGATCCCTCATCCACTAATCATCATCATCGAACACCGACAAGGACGGAGGGAAGGCGCATACATACACCTAGGTAGTGACGTAATCAACAGAATCAGAACTCCGCAGCAGCATTTCACAGCCACCTGCATACAGCCACCTCACACAGTAGCACTATGTACACTACGGGTGCTCGGTTTCGAAACATTTCCGAAGTTCGTTCGGAAATGTTTCGAAAGACGCGCCTGCAGGGGGGGACGTCCTGGACCTTGGTCCAGGTACATTTCGAAATTCGTTTCGAAGGGGATTTCGTAACTCTTTCAAAAAGATTTCGATATCTTTTTGAAATAATTTCGAAAGAGTTGCGGAATCCTGCGGTTCCGGAATCGCCTCCGAAGCGCGGCTTCGGAATGGTTTCGAAAGAGTTTCGAAAGACTCCTGTAATAATCGGGAGGTTTCGAAACTTTTTCAGAACTGTTACAGTTCTGCAATGGCTCTCAGCTGGCTTTTAGATCGGCACCCTTGTCTCTTATAAGGGTTGTCCCATTCATCTTCAGTTGTATTCATCGTTCATTCTCAATTGTTTATCTCTGAATTTCATGATTTTGTATTTCTGCTATGTATAATAGAGAAAAAAAATAACAACTTGATACAAAAGAAAAAGAACAAAAAATACAAAAAACATTTCACTTCGATCGATCGCTCGATTGATCAATTGATTGGATTGAAATGAAAGAAAGGATAAGAAAACAGGATGAAAGAAAGGATAAGAAAACAGTAATATAAATAAACGTATGTCGGACTGAGCTCGAGTAAACGGCGGTAGTACTGGAGGGGTGCGAAGGTAGCAGAGGGGATGACCAGGAATAAGAAAACAAGCAACAGGCAGTATGTATCTCGGTGAGGTGAGTGGGGTAGATGATCGCTTGCTGGTGTTAATGAAAAATGGACAGGAGATGACTTATAAGAGGAGTTGAGGAGAGCTTAAGGAAATCGTCAGAGGGGGAGAGGAGGGGATAATTCAAGATGAAGCATCGAGAGGGGACCAAGACACCTTGGTCAACAACTGAGCGCTTTAAATACCTTCTCCAAAAAAAAATCACATCGGTCTGGTTTCTCCAACCGAAAAAAGCTTCAAAGTACTTTCGACATTGTTTCGAACCGTTGGAGAAACCGAATGATGGTTCGAAATAGTTACGAAAGATTGGCTCCTCCTGCCAAAAAACTTTCGGAATGATTTCCGAAGTGTTGTTTTAAAGTTCTGATCCGGCAATATCCGCATAAAACCCGGAATATTACCAGATCAAAATCTTAACCAGAAGACTTCGAAATGGTTTCGATCTTTTTTTCGCAACTTTCGTAAAAGTTTCGAAATTTTTACGAAAGCTGCTTCGAAATCAACAAGTCCATAAGTTTCGAACATCGTTTCGAAGCAAAACCTTAAAAGTGCCCCCGTAGTGTAGGAATCTAGGATACTACAACATAGATACAAGATCACTATGAGCTCATCATCAAGGCTCTTTCTGAGTGAAGGCCACGTGTATTGGCACTGAGCAGATAATACAAACTTCAATCAAAATCCAATGCAAAAAAAGAGCAGATTATAGCAGTACAATAAGACTGATCATGATCATCATCAAGAAAGAATTATGTAGGATGTAGGAATAGAGATCATACATGAGTGCCTCCGTCATAAAGATGTATATATGTTGCACAAGAATGGATATTTAGATCAGGAGAAACATCAGAGATGAATCCAAGCAGGATCTTGATTAACAAGACTTGCCAAACATGACTATTATCCATAGTCATGTCATCACCATCTGAATTCACATTAACTGTTTGTTTTTTTTCCAAAGGTATGTCAAGAAGTATTAGACCACACACACACACTGACCAAGAAAAAGAGAGATAAACAACCATGTAACATAAGAAAGAAAGAAAGAAAGGGGGAGGGGAGGGAAGATTGAGTTAAAGGAGAGATGGACGAAAGAGAGAGGATTTCAAAGGACCCCAGCCACGGCCAACATCTGTTGCAAGTCGGAGCATTTGACGCGAGGTCTATCCGTCGCGCGTCCCCGCTCGCGTTCGAACTCGTCGATCAGCCTCCATCTCTGCCAATCCACACCAAACTCTTTCCCCTCCAATGTCGGCTGGAAGTCTTCCCCGGCTACCGACTCCACCCCGGATCTGGTTGGGATGGAAGCAGATGAGGATAGGATGTCGGAGATCATCGTCTGGCTCACTGTCGTCGACCCGCTCATCGTGTCGCCAATCACCCCTTTCGAGCCCGTCGATAACCAGCCGGTCACATACAGTCCTGGAATCTGTGTTGGATCCCAATTTGTTGGTTAGTCGAAATTATGACGATACAATCCAGGAAAGACGCAGAGAAAGAGAGTTGTAAAGAAACAAAAAAAGTAGCAAGGGAAGACTGACGATTTGATTATCTGCTCCCACCACTCTACCGGCGACATTTCGAGCGCGACTATGGGAAGGATCGGGAGAGAGAGGGGGGAACAGAAGAGGGACGGAGCCGAGGCTTTTGAGGACTAGGTCCGTGGGCGAGGAGTGGGTGACGAGGGGCATGATAGGCCCGGGCCTTGATGGCGGAATAGTCGAGCGGAGAGAGACTTCGAGAGTCGGTCGGGTATTCGAGCCGGTTGAGGGCCCATTGGACGCTGCCTACCTTTTGTGGAACACTCGTTGACTCATTATCATCGTCAGAAGAAGAAGATGGAGGAGGAGGAGGAGGAGCGCCATGGAAGGCGATTGGGCTTTGAAGGAACCGAAGAGAGCATGTGCGAGTGGCGGCGGAAGAAGAGGAGGGAGGTTGTTTGGCCGCGGCGAGCATGACCTCGAGTAGACGTTTGGTGAGCCGGCCGTTGGGCATCCGAGCGAGCGCGCCGGGCTCTGCGATCCGGGCGGCAGCCTCGACGAGCGGAGGCGAGTCGATGCGCATGGCGAGGTCGGGCAGTCGGACGAGTTCGCGGAGCTCGCGGGTGGTGAAGGCCGTCTGCAGCGGGCCGCGCCGGCCGACGATCTCCACATGCCTCACCCGGCTCCGGGCGAGCTCGGATAACGCCTCGTCGCTTATGTCCGTCCGTCGTAGCACATCCACTTCGCTCAGTAAGATCCGGGCTATGTCTAAGGACACATTTCCCATCCCGATGATCGTCACTGTATCTATCTTGCTCAAATCTACACCAAATTTCTTGTGGGTGATTGTTGGATTTGTTATAGGACTTGAAGGATATCCATTGTACCAGCCCACAATCGTCCGTGCGCTGAGGATGTTCGCCAAACTGTCCTCGCCTTCAAGGCCGCCCAAGCTTCGCTCCTCGCCCGCCCCATAGGCCAACAAAACAAGATCGTACTGCGCGCGAAGGGTGCTTAATCGGACCGACGCTTGGCCCCATGATGGCCCCTCTTGCTGGTCCCCAAGCACGATCGTGTTCCCGAAATATCGGAACTGGGGATGCCGGCCTACTTGGTCGAACTTGTGTTCACAATTCTAGATTCGACCGACCAAAAAATAAAATAAAAATTGTAAGATGAGGGTAGTGGTAACGGTGGGGGAGAGATATTTAGTGGAGGATGAGACTGACTTTAACTTCAGGATGATCGGGGGCAACGCCATATCTACTGAGTCCATAAGGCGTCGGCAGGGCTTCGAAGAGGTCGATTGATATCGGGCGTGTAGGGATTAAGGATTGCTGGCTGAGGAGCGCTTTGGCCGCATAGAATCCTGCCGGTCCGCCGCCACAGATCGCCACTCGGATCGGCGTCGTTCGTCCGGTCGTAGAGTAGCTCCTGCTCGCTCGGTTAAATTGGCCCTTGGTTTTGTTGGTCGGTCTTGTCTGGATTCTTGTGGTTAAAGTGGTGGTTGTTGCTCGGCGGATTATTGTGCTCACTGGTCTGTCCATCTCGTCTCGTCAGGAAATCCCCGATCCGATGATACCCTCACTCAACCACCAGTGCTCCATCCATAAATATTAATATCTCAAATTGAATAAAACCCAAAACTGTGTACATACACTACTACACACCACCTCCCTTTGATGGCTCAATCATATTTCTTTTGGCCAGAAAGAAAAAAAAGGTTCACTTGATACCAAAAACTTGTGCAGAAAAAAAAAGCCAAACAGATGTCCCTTAATTGAGGATAGGTTGAGCATTAAGGAGAAAATTCGAATCATTTTCACCATTAAGAATCCAAAAAAATAAAAAATAAAATCAACAGAATTGAAGGTAATCAATCAATTATCCACACACACACAAATACCCCCTTTTTTCTTTTCCTTTTCAAAGTTAAAACAAACAGTACATGTCCTGACATGTTGTTAACACTGATTCATAGTGCACAGACACAGTGACACATGAAAGAAAAAAGATGGACACAGACACTGAAAATCCACTGCAAAACAATCCCATTTCTTTCTTAGGTTATCTTTTTTCTATCTTGGTGTGGGGGATGGATGTAAGATAGGGTGGAGAATCATACATACTCTACAGTCCTTCAACTTTCTTCTTGTTTCTATACATATGTAGAGAGTATAATTTATGTATTGATTTATTTTTTTAGGTGGGGGGCAGAATACAAACTCAAAACAACAACAACAACGGCTAGACTCTGATTTCTAAAGGATTTTTTTTCGTTTTTGTGAGTGTGTGTTTTTTGAGAGATCAGTGGTAGGGTTTCAAGTAGAGGTGCGTAGCTAGAGCTTGAAGTCAGTCTTGACGTATTGAGTCAGAGAAGCTGCGGCCTCGTCCACAAACCTGGATGGAAGAGCGAGGACATGTCAAGGAAAGAAAGCAAGAGTCAGGATGAGGATTCCATAATGATGGAGAAGATAATCGACGAACCAGAAGACTTGGCCAGGAGGGATAGGTTTCACGAGGGAAGAGGGGAGGCCGAGTTCGGGGAGATCGAGGACGTTGTGGATGACGCCCTTCTTGGAGTCACCGACGGCAACGAAGGCGACCTTGTGGGCATGGTTGAGGACCGGATAGGTCAGCGTGATCCGGGTCGACGGCGGCTTGGGCGAGTCGTTCAACCAGGACACCCAGGTCGAATCTTCCTTCAGTAATTCGTGGCCCGGGAATAATGAACATGTGTGGCCGTCCGGCCCTGTGCCGAGTAGAATCAGATCGAAGCGTGGAAAGGCTACCGCATTCTTGCCTATTCATATTTGAATTCAAAAAAAAGAGACAATTAAGATCGACTATCATCTAACTTAGGATTCATTCTTCACCCTAGAAACTTGATCGAAAAAACAAAGTATACCTAGTTCTGTGAAAGGAAACTAGGTTTTTTTATAATAAGTACTTGCCTGCGAATTCATTCATCAATTGTTTCTCATAATCATGAGCGACTTCTTCAGGATCATCGAGGTGATCGGTTGAGATAGGATGGATGTTCTCAGTCGGGATGGGAACTTGACTGAACAAGCCTTCATGAACGATCCGATAATTAGAGTCCTCGTGGTCTAGGGGGACGACTCTTTCGTCGGCGAGGAAGACGACCCTTCAAAACAAGAAGAGATCTGAGTGTTTTTTTTTTTTGTCGGAGAGAGACAGGGGGGAAGAGTATAATGGAAGAGATAAGCTCACCATTTCTCCCATTTCACCTCGGCCCGACCGGTGAGTCCTTCGACCAAAGTCTTAGCCAACGAGCCGCCAGAGACGGCCAGGGTGAACTTGGAGCGCTTCGAAAGGGCCTCCTCCTGGGCCTTGATGACGAAGTCGCCGAGCGAGCGGGCCACTTTGTCTTTCGGCAGGGCGTAGAGGATCGCCGGATGGGGCGTCGTCGAGGGTGTGGGTGTCATTCTTTCTTTCTGATTCAAACTTGCCTCGCTGCTGGTAATGGTCTCTCGATCAGTTGCTCGATGGTGTTGGTTTTCTGTTGGGTTTGTATGCAGCTTGTCTCCGAAAAAAATGTTGCTGTACACAGCCAAACTTCGGACCGACGATCCGATCGACCGGTAGATACACAAGCCTCAAGTTGACTTCAACCCCGTTGGCTCACTTCCATCTCCATCTTCCATCTTCTAGGTTATTCCATCCAACTTGACAGCTTGAGTTTATGGAGCGCACTCAAAAGAAGAACCCAACAGGAACTTCCACTAGTCAGCACACATAAATAAATAGACCAGAGCTTGGATTGATTGGCCCACATGCAGTGCATGGGAATTTTTGGACTCCGAGGTGGAAGATTGACAGGAGGGAAAAGAGGCCTCAAATTTGGAAATCTGTGAAGGGAAAAACCTAAGGGCGGAGCTTCAAAGTGGAAGGTCCCAACTGGAAAGAGACAACATTCAAGACTGAGCACAGATTGCAAGGTCCAAAAATACCTGATTGGAGAGCTGATCCACACCCAGACTTCAAATAGCTTGGTTCTTGGTAGATAGGACCAAGCACCTATTTCATCAGTTGGCAGTTTGGTCCCTATGGGCAAATTTAAGGTTGTGTAATGATCTAATCCAATCAGCTAATTTTATCCAAAATTTGAGAAATATACTAAATTCATAGGAATTGTCAATGTCTAAATATTTACACCTTTTACTAATCCTTTGAGAGGGTTGGATCCATCAAAGTGAAGGGAAATACTGAACAAAAGAGAAATAGAGTAAGAATAGAGGTAGATGATTGATGATAGATAGATGTATGTCCTCAAAAAAATTCAGACTCCAAATAAAATGTTGGACTATTGATATTCATTTTTATCTGCTTTACACATGTCATGTATGTACATTTAATATGTCTTGTAGTATACCTGAGACAGTCATTGTGGAAGCTGTCTTTCCTCATCCTTCCACTGGCCTCACCTTGTGTCTGCTGATCTCATGCAGCAATGGGCTGCTATGCTACATGGAGCTAAATGGCCCACTATCATTAGTGTAGCAGCCCTCAAAACAGCGGACCAACCCTGTAGTGTTAGTGTGCTGTTAGCCCCACTACACTGCAATACAGTGCTTTTGGTGGCAAAAAGACCAAAAAAGGCTCAGAGGCACTGTGGCACAGCATAACAGGCACTTTTGTGTGGCCTGTGCACATAGAGCTAGTGCACTTGCGGCAGAATTCTGCTACGCTATGCTAAATTTTAGAGGAATTTTGCCATGCTATGCTGCACTAACACTACTGTTAACATAATGGCTCATTGTTGTCTCAATCATAGTCTGCCTTTTTTCCTCTTCTCTTTTCTTCCTTTGATATATATGAAATTAATAATCCTTCCACAAACATGCCCACTCACCTCACCTTGTTCTCTGATTGTCTGGCTCATCAGCTCATCATAAAAGACATGGGAAATATGATGAGGGAAAAGTTTGTTTGTGTCACCAAAATATATAATATGATGAAAGATTGGGATATGCAACTTGATTTAATAAATCAAAAGCAAAAATTAACCAAAACAAGATATCAAATAGAACTTTAACAAAAGGAAAATTTCTAGTCAATTGAATCATGTTCTTGGAAGAAGCATTTGTGTGCAAGGGCATTATTGCACTTATGTGAATTGAAATTTGATGGTTTTAATTGACCTAAGGCATGCACCAAAGCGCTTCCAAATTTGAAAATCAATTCCAAACTTTTTTTTGCATTTTTTTTGAACAGAATCAAAAAACACTTGATCAAACATGTGTTCCACAATCCAGTCTTTCACCTTCCTTGCTCTCACCCACTGCTTGAAATTCATCTGCCCCTCAGCCACTTACTACCATGGCTCACACTCCATCTTTATATTACCAGCCCTTCAATGCCTTCACATTTCTTCTTGTTGTTTTCAGTTTTCTCTTTTTGCATCTGAATCTTCATCATGGAAAAAACAGAAGTACAACTTGGCTCTCACCATTGGAACTGAAAATTGTATGTATTGAACCAATATAATAATCAATTGAAAGACACAAACAAACTTGTTTGTCCACGTTTCAATAGATTGAAGCATATCTATTGATTGATTGAGTCAGAAAAGACAAAAAACACACAATTGAGAAAACAGGAGTTGAGAGAAAATCACAAGCAAGGTGAAACAAGAAAAACACAGAGAAGACAATGAAGCTTGACGATAAGACAAAATGATAGATAAGCCAGCCAGTCAATTGGAATTTGAGGGCTGGTGTTGATTAATTTTTGAGCTGCAGAGGATTTTTCTGTTTAATCTTCTTGGGAAGGAGAAGAATGATTTTGGAGATTCATGATCAAGTAGCATTTGTAAGACTGATGTTGTGTAGAAAATTTGAAGACAAGAGTGCCAGAGAATTTTTTCAAGCAGGGGTGTGGCTGTTTCATTGAATGTTATAAAATGTGAAAAAAAAAAACAATAAGTTGGGGTGTGGCAAATAATGACAGCTATGGTGTATGTTTTTGGTCAAAATTGATTGCTGGTGGAAAGATTGAACACTGGCAGCCCTCAGGCAACTGTGGTACATGCCCTAAAATTCCAAGGTTCATTATTTGGAGAAATTAATGAATTGAAGACTCTAAGGAAAGCTTCATAATGATGCAAATGATGCTGGGAGAGGTTTCTTTGATGTCAATGCTGCCAGCTGAGCTTTAGAATCAATCAACCTGAAACCCCTTCCAACCATCAATGGATAAGATTCAGGAGGGGTATTTGGGCTTGCAAAGTATCCTTTATTCTTCAATATGTTTTCAAAATATTTTCCCATGTCTGGAAAATGTAGATATAACAAGTTCTCAATTTTTTGAAGTTTAAGGTCCAAGCTTTCTGCAATTGCCTTCCCGCTCACTGATGACAATGGTGCATTTTTGAATGGTTCATTTGAAAATACAGAGTCCATGTAAGCTCTGGCTAAAGTATGAGGGTCTGTGGGATTGTTTGAAAATTCCATAAATTTTCCATTATAAGCTTGTAAGGCCTGGTCAAACTTGAATGAATTTGGGTGTTGAAATGAATTGGTTGTTAGATATTGAGACTTAGCCTCTTGATCTATTTGATTTAGTTGTGACTCAACCACCCGAGAAGCCACATCTTCTGATATCTTTCTTTTTGTTTTTTCTGGTAGTTGTTTGAGATGTGTGTCCAAGTCAGTTTCAAATTGATTCATCAAGCGTTTTGAGAAATCTTCTGGTGTCCCCAAGTTTGATGAGAACTTTTGTTTGCTTCCTTCAGCTGAAAGAATCAACCCTTCATCAATAATCCCTTTATCAGTCAGTTCCTGGGCAAGTGGGAGGTTAAACTGGTATGAATTGCCAGCTTCTTTTCTAAGATTTTTCAATGCTTCTAGTTTTGTTTTTGCGTTGCGATCCTGATATTTATTGATGTGCTTCTCAAACAATTTTACTTGGTCCATGAAGTATTTACGACTAGGTGCCTGGCGAAGGACCTCCAATTGATGGTTTTTAAGAAATTTGAGTGAGTCCATATGTTTTTTCATGGCATAACTTATTATCTCTTGATCTTGTGGTAATCCCTTCAACCTTTCAAAGACTTCCCTTGGGCCCACAGTAGTTGCATAGAATTTCATAAATGCATTTTCAAGCCATTCTTCATCTTCCCTTGCAGCAATTCTAAAAATAGATACATCTTCAGGATTTTGATGTGAAGAAGTTTTTAGAACATTGGTAATTCCAGTATGGGCTTGATTATGAAGTTTCCTGCTGAATCCTAGACGTTTATCCTGCAAAAGGTATTCAAATCCTTTAATCATGGAATAACGGAATACCACTTCCTTCAGGTCCTGATCTGGAGGTAGATTTTGAAATATGTGTTCCAAGTCCAAGACTCTTGGGTCTGTAGGGAGTTTTTTCTTCAATTGAACTTCTCGAGCACTAACTAGTTGATCTAGGTTGATGAGGCTTTCAGAATCACTCCTTTCAAAGAATTGCAAGAAATGATTTTTGATAGCTAGCTTTTGTTCCTTCCCTCCTCTGACAACAAAGATACTATTGACAATTTGATCCAATTCGGCGTCGAAATGCTCCCTAACGGTTGGTTGTTGCAGTTCTTTCAAGGAATTTGATACCTCAGCCATGATGTGGTCATGATCAGCAAGTTTTGTGGTTTGTAACTCGGACATCCAACTTTTCCTAGGAACATTGCTCTCATCTACAATAAGCTGATATTGCTTGAGGTATTTAAGGTAGTGTTCATAGAAAATTTCTGTTTGGCCTCTTTCTTTGTCACTGAGCAACAAGGGAAATTGCTCATCAAGAGTCTTGGCCAAGGTCTTGATATTGAGAGGTTTTCCTGGGGCTGCCTCAAGATTGTGTTCACCCAAAGCAAGATACTTCCCAATCATATTCCTTGAATTCTCTGAAAGAGACAAGATAGTTCAGTGTGAAAGAGCAGAAAATTTATGTGAGTTTGGCACAACAAAATCGGATGAAACTGTGGGCTGTTTGAAAGACTTACCAAATCTTACTATTTCTGAATCAGGAAGAGGCTTCTTAAAGACATTCCTACGCAGAAACTTTACGTCTTTCCAAAAATTTACACTTACAAAGCAAGTGACAGAGGTAGGTCTATCATTGAGCACAAGGTCTTGCACATAAAATTTGGAAAGCAAGGGTGGAATCAGAAACTTACATTTTTTGGACCATTGCTTTCAGTTTTTGAAAAAAGCCAACAGACTTTGACTTCAATTTTGAATCGTTTAAGAAAATATATTTCCATTCTCAGTGAAGTTGTTGATGGAAGCTAATTTGGGATTTGAATTCAATTGGACCTACAGGTTGGGCTGTTATGGGGGCATCTGCTGCTGAAGGGTTTGGGTGTTCAAACTTCAAGGGCTCATTGGGCCTCTGGAAAGTTGGCCCTTTTTCAGGTTGTGATGGTATATTGTGCGCATTATCCAATGGATTTATGTTGTTTGGAGTGGCCAATGGAACATTTTGACCGATGGGTTCCGCATGCGGCCCAATGCCTCCGGAGATGTGGGGGTCGATGCCTGAAGTTGAACTCCCAAGACGCGCAAGGTCTTGTCCTTTGCCGAAAGCCTCTCCTGATTTGGTAGTGGACGAAACAATCTGGGGGGTGTGGGTAGCAAAAGCTCGAGCTTGAAGACGATTAATCTTATGCGAATGATAAGAAGAAAAGAAGATAAGAAATGTAACGATCGACAACGATAATTTAAAAGCTGGCATGGTAGAATTCTTTAATAGATATTAAATAGCGAACAAAAGAGCGAAAGATGGAGGCCGGGATGTGAGATGAGGGTAATAAAGGGTCAAGAGAGACAACTACCAGGTGGCAAGTCAAGCCCTTAAATGCATTGAGAAGCTCTCCAGCATGTGGCACGCGCAAAGCCAAGAGCGTACTCAGTAGCCCAAACGCATTCTCAGCGAAGAATCCTATTTTCAGTTTTGTGGAGGAGCTGTATTAGTTCACAGCCCTATGTTTCCTGAGCGGCAGCAGGCACCCCAATTTGTCTCATCGACGCCGTGAGCACGATGGCGATGATGGATCACTGCGAGTTTCATTACCCGGCTTCATCGACACCAAGTGAGGACGAGTATCTCGTCGTACCTAGCCAAGTGATGTACTCGATGGTACTTGGGTGGGCGACTCGGCGAGCCTAACACATGAGGCACCGTGCGGCCTCGCAGGGTCTCTGTCTCGGTCGGCGTAGGCGACTCCGAACTCCAAGGCCTTTTTCATAAGAGAAAGGAAGAGGGGCTCGGTTAAGTTCGGTGGCTTGGACCAAAGCCTTTACATCACCGAGTGACGACGAAAGCGTCACACAAACCTTCTCACTGTTTCATCTGCAGCTGGTGATGACGAAGAAGAAGCGCCCCCAGCGAACTCGGCTTACCCCTCCAGGCTATGAGAAGCTCCCTTCCGTGTGACACGTCTGGTTCTGGCCTTGGGTCAAGTCGTCGTGGACTGGTAAGTTGTCGTAGGGGCGAGTCGCTTCCCCAGTGGTCTCTGTCCACACTCATCACTATGTAATCACCCACAATGACCAGCGTTTGTTTCTCGAAAAAAATGGCAACAAGGGAATAGAGAAAATAGTGAAATAAAATGTATTACTGATGATGAGAAAATTTGGTATTGCCAGCATAATAGACTGGGATTTTGGAGTTCCCCTTTAACTGGTTATACAGAAACAATTTGAGACTGGTTCAGTAAAGCCCAGTTTAAGTGAAATTAAGCTAGCATACCCAATTATGACATTGTAATTGGCTGTGTTGCGTAAATTCCAATTGAACTGTGGCACTCAACCAAAAAGAAAAATGGCCAAATGATATGGAGGCACTGGTGTGCCAAATGGGCCAAAAAAATCAAAAAACATGTTTTTCTGCCCCTGAAGTGCCAAACACACCAAGAAAAAAATGAAGAATACATTTTCAAAACCGAATTTTTGAAATAATGCCCTTGAATTGTCATACTTGCCAGGCTTTATTCAATGACATGGGGCTGCCAAACATGGCACAGAGATGACACAAGCAGGGGTCTCACCAAACTTAGCAGGCAAGTCCCCCTTCTTCGCAAAGAAACCCTCCAAAGGAGGGACGCGGAGGGTCCCTGCGGGACGGCGCCCCCCCTCCAAATCAAGAGGGACTTGAATAAGTTAGGGGTCTCACAGACTTGGGATCCTTACACCCCAATCAAGCAGTGATGTAGGGTGTTACGTATGAGATCAAAGTGACCAAGAACAGAGCTGATGATTGTCAGGCTGGACAAGCTGATATGGTGGGACTGCAACCATTGGGCCATGTGGATGACCAAGACAAGTCATCCACTTTCATCCTAGAAAACCGGCCAGAGTTGTCCAAAAAAGGCAAAGCAAGATAAGAAGGCCCCCAAGGCAGGTGAGGCCGGCAGTCCTCAAAGTTGGGGCCAGAATGGACCAATTCTGGGTGAAGATGATAATGAGGAGAACCCTGGAGGGCCCTATGGGGGGAAGGCAAGCTGGTCTTTTCAATGGTAGAGAGGCTGATGCTACCCACCCCATTCATTATTACAATCTATCCTCACTGGTGTCTTATGCTATGAACGGCCAGAACAATGGGTCATTGGTGTGTTATACTGTGTACACAAAAAAACCGAAGAAAAAGAAAAAAAAAAAAAAAGACTGGAGAAAAAAAAAAAAAACCCAAATCGGAGAATTTGGAACACCCCTGAGGGGGTAGTCGAAAGGTCGTGCGGGGCACTGTAGACATGTATCCCCCTTGGAAGGGGGACCACAGGCAAGTACAGAATCATTCGGGCTGTTTCAGCGCTTGTATGGGCAATTTGGGGCTTTCATTCATTCAAAAAAAGGTTTTCATTTTTTTAATTTTCTGACTCGTTTGGCATGCCAGTGCCTCCATACAAATGAAACACATTTGAAGTTAAATCCAATCAAACTATCCATTTATGATATCAGTGATGAGAAACCTTAAAAAAATGAATGAGCCATTTTTTAATGATTGTATGAAGTATACACCACGGGTGCACCCAGACGTTTTCAAGGCGACTGGGGGCACGTTGAGAACGTCTTCAAGACAAAGAAACATTTTTGTCTTGAATTAGACTTTGAGGCGGCTTGAAAAACACCTTGGAGCCTACTCACAACCAACGGTGGGCCAGCTACGCTAACCGTAGCGTAGTGCAGCAAAAAAACACTACAATTTAGCGTAGCGTTAGCGCTTTTCTCATTTTCTGCGCTAACGCTATGCGCATGGGGAAAAAACTTGCGCTAGCGTTTAGCGTAGCGTTAGTGCGATTTCCCCCATCTGCGCTAACGCTACGCGCGCAGGGCGCGAAAAACCGCCCACTACGCTGCGCTACAGCAGTTTTTAGGCGTTTTTTGCCGCTAAAAACGCTGTAGCGTAGCGTAACGCAGTGTAGCGGCGCCAGAGGCGCGCTAACACTACACCAAAAATTGGCGAGTGTTAGCGCCGCTACGAATTAGCGTAGCGAAGCGGCCGTAGCGGCGCGCTAACACTACACAAAAAAAATGGCGCCGCTACGCTAACGCTACATGGGCCCGTAGCGTAGTGTAGCGTAGCGGCCCACTGCTGTCACAACTACACCGGTTTTCAAGTTGCCTTGAAAACCACTTTTTTTAAGATTAACACGGGTCCAGATGCTCAGATTGATCTGGGAGTTGTCTTCAGAACCAATTGGGTTCCAAAGACAACACAAAAACTCCAATGGTTCTTGAGAATGACTCAAGAGCCATTACCTCTGGTGTAGTTTTTTTTTTGGGAAATTGGAAAGTGCAGCTGAGGCAATGTGATGAAAGCTCAAGATATTTCATTCAATTAATGAAAAATTCAACCAAAATGGAAATTTCAAATAGGGAACAATGAAATTAAACAAAAGCAACATTTTGGTTCAATTTAAAAGTCACAAAAGCAGGGAGGTTTGTGACAAAGAACTTCTTCATGTAGAAATATGTGAGTTGAATATGAATTGAAAATTGATGCTGCTTGGGTCATTGAATGAAATTTCATTTTTTTTTAGAATAGATTGTTCTGATGAAATCATGATGATGATGAAAATGAATCTGATAAAGGTCACCTTGCTGATAAGGTGGCCGGCTGAGGTGTATGAGGTATATAACTTGGAACATGGCCTATCCTTAAGGACTGAGCAGGGCTGTTGGGTCTTGAAAAATATCCTTTAGGCTTCAAGATTTCTTCAAAATATTTTCCCATTTCTGGAATATGTTGACCTAGAAAGGTTTCAATTTGGTCAATTTTGATGGCTAAATTTTCTGTAATTAACCTCCCACTTATGATAGAATTGGGAGCATTTCTGAATGGGTGTGTTGAAAATGCTGAGTCCATATAAGCTCTTGCTAAAACATTATTTTCTTCAGGAGTCTCTACAAATTTACTATTTTCTGGTTTGTAAAACTTCAATGCCTTGTCAAATTTGAATGAGTCTGGTTTTTGAAATGCATCAGTTGTTAAATATGTAGACTTAGCCTCGTGATCAATTTGATTTAGCTTTGACTGTGTTACACGAGATGCTGTGTCCTTCAATATTTGTTCTTTTGCTGTTTCTGGTAGCTTATCAAGATGCATCTCCAGTCCAGTTTCAAATCTATTCATCAAGATTTGGTTGAAAGTGCTTGGTTCTCCCAACTGTCCAAAAAATTCTTTCTTACTTCCTTTAGCTGAAACAACCCATTCTTCATTAATAATCCCTTTATCCTTAAGTTCCTGGAAAAATGGGATGTTGAACTTGTATGATTTGACAGATTCTTTTCTAAGGTTTTTCAATGCTTGTAAGTTTGCAACCCTTTCAGGATTTTCCGGTTTATTGATGTTCATTTCAATTAATCTCATTTGTTGATTGAAGCTTTCACGACTAGTTGTTTGTCGAAGGAGTTCCAATTCATCGTTCTTAATAAATTTTAGTGATTCAAAATTTCTATTGATGGCGTAATTTATTTTCTCTTCTAATCGAGGCAATTTCTGCAACCTGTAAAACACTTCCTTTGGGCTGGTAGTAATTCCATAGAATTTCATAAAAGCATTTTCAAGCCATTCTTGATCTCCCCTAGCGGCAATTTTAAACAGGGATTCACCTTTGGAATTTGGTGAAGAGCTTTTGAGAACAGTTGCAATTCTAGTTTGGGCCTGGGCCTGAAGGCTTTTTTCTAATTCTGGAAGTAGATGCATATCTTTCATCATGTTTTCAAATCCTTCAATCATGGCATAACGGAATATCACCTCTTTCAGGTCCAGATTGGCAGGTAGATTTTGAAATACATGTTCTAGGGCCATGACTCTCGGATCCGTAGGGAGTTTTTTCCCCAACTGAACTTCTCGGGCGCTAGCAAGTTTCTCCAGGTTGGTCAGACGTTCGGAATCTCCAACTTTGAATATATTTGAGAAATATCTTTCAAGATCCGCATTTTTGATTTTGCCTCCCGTGGCTTTGGAGATCCTTGTAATAATTTGATCCGATTGTTTTTGGAAAGATTCTTTGATTCCTGGTTCTTGCATTTCTTTCAAGGATTTGGATATCTCGGCCACCGTTTGGTCATGATCAGCGAGTTTTTCAGCTTGTACCTCAAACGCCCAACCCTTCTTAGCTGCATTGTCATCATCCAACATAAGCTGATATTGCTTGAGGTATTTCAGGTAGGATTCATGTGAGAACATATTTCCTGGGGCGCCGTTCTCTTTGCCTACTAAGAATGGGAACCGCTCATCAAGAGTCTTGGCCAAGGCTTTCAAATCTAAAGCTTGACCAGGGGTTGCGTCAAGCTTGTGTTCACCCAGAGCGAGATACTTTCCAATCATAGTCCTTCCATTCTCTGAAGCAAACGAAAAAAAAAGTAAAAAGCAAATAGTTTGGGTAAGTATTTCATGGAAAACGCAAATAAAACCGGTAGGGTATGTCGCCGTACTGGAAAGACTTACGAAATCTTACGACTTCTGAATGGCGAAGAGGCTCCATTTTGATAGCCCTATACGCATACCTCATGTTTTTCAAAGCATTTACACTTTTAAGGTGGTTGAAGGAGGTAGGTCTGTTTGAGCACAAGGTCTTGAATAAAATCTAGTCGGAAAAATTGGAAGCAGCAACTCACAAGTTTTTGCCCCATACTTTCATCTTCTGAAAAATAGTAGTAAACATTGACTTGATTATAGAATCACCAATGTTTTTTTTTTCAGCATTATTGTGCATGAAAGCTTAGAAAGCTCTGAAGTACACTCACTTGTTGCACCTGTTTGGGGGGATCTGTTGCCGAAGGATTTGGATGTTGAAGAGTCATGTGCTCATCAACCCCCCCGACATTCGACCCCTTTTCAAATAGTGATGGCGTATTGTGTGCATTGTCCAACGGATTCATGTTGGATGAAGTGTCCAACACATGAGACCCCGTGCTCGTGGGGAAGGAAGGGTCGATGGCTGTATTAAGGTGGGCCAATTCTGGTGCTCTGCCCGAAGCCTCTCCTGCTTTGGCAGCAGACGAAATAGTCTGGGGAGCGTGGGCAAATGATCGAGCTTGAAGACGATTGATCTCAAGGGAATGATAAGAGGAAATCAAGCATAGGAAGTTAACGATTGACAAGTATAATCTGAAAGCCTGCATGGTAAAATATAAGGAAAGACGGCTGGATCTGGGGATGTGAGGTAAGAAGAGAAAAGAATGAAGATTGTGCGAATCAAAAACTTCTTATCAGATGAGAAGTGACACCTATAAATACGTTGGGAATCTCACCTAACGCCAGCAGAGCATACTGGAAAAGATGACAGACCGAACTAATCCTCAGCGAAACAACCTATTTTCAGTTTCACGGACGAGCTTTATGGGTTCACAGCTTGAGGGCTCCTGATGGCAGTGATTCCCCGGCTTCACCGGCAACTGCACGTGAGCACGAGCAATATGCTACCATTTCGTAAGGCCAGCGAGTTGGATTTCTTCCTTGTCACACGTTACTGGTGGACGGCTCGGAAGCATAGCCTTTACGTTGCCGAAGGACGATGGCCTCCTCCGGCCTCGCTGAAAGCTTCCTTTTCCCGTTCCATCTGCAGCATGTACGGGGAAGCATGTCCAGCCGAGCTCGGCTCACTCCCATAGGCTTTGCCGAGCCCTCTTCATCCCTGGTAACATGTCTGGTAACCCTGGGTTCAAACTTCAGTCGTCGGGGACGTTTATGGGCGGCCGAAGCGCATCCCCGCGACTACCAGCCAAAACGGCCCGATGTAGTTCTTTTCTTGAGAAAAATGATAATGAATTGGACTTCAGCCTTCAGGAGAACGGCAACTGATTTAGGAAATCCTCTATGTTCATCTCTCATAAACACAATCCCTTTCTTTTCAATGTTAGTTTAGCTCATGTAATTCCTTTTTTTTCACAGAAAGAAGAAAAAAAAGGGCAAAGCAGATGGAAAATAAGTGAGCAAAAAAGCACAACGTAACAATAAGATAACAAACGAGTTAAAGAAAAAAAAAAAAGGGGGGGGGAAGGAAGGGATATACGAAAGCAAGAGAGGAAGTGTACATGATGAGAGTTGGAAGATAATAGTTTCTTATCAAATTTTCCATTACCAAAACAATCGAATAGAAAAACAACCTTGTCTCTCAAATCTCTATATAAAGATGTATACGATAAGTTAAAAAAAACAGAGATTTAGATATAAAAAAACGGTACAAACTGGACTTTTCTTTGGTTCTTCTTAATAAGCTCAAATATATGTCTGTTCTTCATCACACTTGATTTCTTTTTCTTTTTGTTATCTTGATTGATTGAATCAACATAAATAGGAGATGAGTATGTTTTTATTCAGAATCAACCAAAATACATTTTGTTTTTTTTTCTGTTAAGATTGGTATCAACTACGAGAAAAATCTAAGGTCTAGTTCGTTTCCGGGTCTTACTGGTCGACCTGTATAACAAAAAAAAGCAAAACAAAAGACGATCAGATTTAGGGTTTTGAGATCAGGATTATTTCGAGATATTGGCAGAGAAAGTATGAAGGGAAATAGAGTACAAGAGAAGGATAACGGTTCAAGAAAGGGGAGGACAGAATAGAACCAAAGAAAGCAGAGAAAGCAGAGAGAGAGGAGCAGAAGAAGAAGCAAAGGAAAAAAGACGACTGACACGGTATCATGTTCATCGATTTCCATCTGATGGTCGCTCGAGAACGGATCGATGGTGTCTTTCTCTTTCCCTTTTCGGCCAGACCCCCCGCCCCCGCCGGAATGACTCTTAAAGCTGCTACTAGTGTGATGGACCGACGAAGAAGAGGATGATAATAAGGAGGTATAAACCGCATGTGAGAGGGTTTCGATCGTCGCTGCTTGGGTCACTTGTTGGTCTAACTTCGCTTGACTTCGGAAAGAAACAAACAAACACGATTTTTTTAGGGTTTTTTTTCTTGGTCTTGGAGAGATCGTGGGGGAAGGGATTCTTACTCTTTCTGACGAATGAGATTGATTCGGGCGTCTAATTGTTCCAAGAGTTGGCCAGAGGATTCGCGCCAAGAGGCGAGTTTAGAGTGAAGTTCAGCCAAGGTATTCGACGGCAAGACGAGCGGCCCATCGTTAGTGTCCATATCCACGTCCCCGTCGGTGGTCATAGAGGTAGACTTGGGTTTTGCATCCAGTGGCCGCCGTAGCCTCACGTCGCGCCCCACGCTCGATTCAATCTCTAATCTCGAATACTTCTGGTCCAGACGTCCGCCCAGTAGGCCGCTATATATCCCATCTATAATCAGCTCTTCCAAGGCTTGTGTTTCGTCAATTTCTAGCTCTTCCATGAGTTCATTGTATGGAATAATCTGTTGTCATTCAAACGGGCCGTTTTCAGTGAATTTAGCTAAACACTGGTATAGAGCAAGGTTTCAACGCGTAACATATTTGTTTGTTTTTTTTTTGGGGGGGGGGGGGGTGAAGGTTTTGGATGAGATAGGCACAGGCTTACTCTCGAATGCGAAGCTCGAGCGATAATCGAAAGTAATTTTAATTTGGCGATTTGAGGTTCATTCAGTTTGGGTAAGTGATCTTGCCTCTCTGTTTTTTCATCACGTGTATCACCAAGATCATCATATGCAAAAAGAGTCAGCAAGCATCCAAGGGATCATGTTTCGAGATTGGTCGTTAGAGAAAGTGTGTTTGAACCTACCCCGATAGTCCTTCCAAGTTCCATAGGCATAAATTTCGAGCAGCTCGTAATAGGATGCGTCGGTCGGATGTGCAGCCAACTAGAAAGAAAAAAGAAAAGAAAACCGACAAGTCAGTCAAATGTTAAGACTTCTATTCAGAAGAGAATAGAGAGAGAGATACAGACCTCCTGGATAGGTTTGGTCTCCAAGATTTCGCCGAAGACGTAGATCCCATTGGAGCCCAGAAGGTCCTCAATTAATTTCAACAGCGCGACGCCCTTCGAGGAGCCGATGAGAGCGAGATAGTATTCCAACTTGTGATTGATCTTGGCCGTTTGGATCGATCGATTAGCCCCGGTCGATGACTGTTGTTGTGCAGTCTTGGAAGCTACTGATGAGGACGGTTTGTCATCCAAGTCAAGCTTGATGTGGTCGAGATCGTCTGGTAAAGAAAAAAGAAAGAAAGGAAAATGTAAGTCCTCAACTGATGATGATGAAAATCTTTCCCTGATCACCCTCCTCCTTCTTCTTCTCCCAGAATTCGCTCGGTCTAGTTCAACTCACGTACATCACCCATTTCCGACGCTGTTTTTTTTTTGTAATAAACCCTCAACCTGCCAAGCGTGTATATCTAATAATCTTGGTCGACTTGTTTGCTTGTTCGGTGTTCAGTTAATTGGTTCAGTGTTGGATCACTCTCCAAAGGCAGGGAAGTTTCCCAAGGGGTCTCAAGCGAGTGACAGGTCTGGCTCACTTGTGATAGTCCATGAACACTTTGTCCAGTCAAATCGAGCAGCAGACCGAGTGCAGAGGAGGATTCCCCATTAGCGGGGTTCACAATTGAACTTTTCGCTTCTGAGTTTGCTAAAATTCTTTTGTGGTCTTTGCATCAAACCAGCGAGCTCAGGAAACCTTCAGCACTACACCTTGCCTGAACAAATCAACTTCACACTTGCTACAGGTTGTCCAAGTGTTTGTTGGACCTAGACAACCAAGTCTCCAAAAGCTCGATTGAATCACTTCAATGTGTTCAGCAAGATAAAAAAATTACCACTATTAGGGGGTTTCAAATTTACCCTAGGTGGCAATTCAGGAGCAAGTTTCAGGAAAAAAAAAAACATCCTGAATTTTTTCCTGAACCCCGCATTTCCTGATCCAAGCAGGGATGCAGAAGGCATATACCTGAAGCAGGAAACTTATCATCGTGAAAAACCCCGAAGCAATCGACCGCTCCCATACGGTGCTATTCACTACACATCCTATTTCTCTTCCTCACCCACCCGCGGCCACCATCTTCCTCCTCCCCAACGCCCTAAAATCTAAGACATGCTGCCAAGAAAAAAGAAAAACCCCCCAGCACCTACGCCTGCTCAATCAAGACCTGCAGCACCAAAGAGGAAGCAACCAGTCAGTTGGGTCAGGACCCCCATGAAGACTGGTGCCCCTGATGCTGATGCCACCGGTTTGTCCAGTCCAAGCCCACTGGACCAAGGACCCCTGATCAATCCGTTGGACCTCTTCAGATTGCATACCAAGCGAATGGAGGAAAAGGGTGTAGCCATCCCCCTTGATCCAGCCTTGGAACATCTCACCGCTAAAAATCATTTCAGTGACCCTGCAATTGGAGATGGGGATCACTTGCCCAAAATCAACCCAGGTATTGTGATTCACAGGCTCACATGCGATACTACTACTGCTGACACCAAAGTAACTTATTTGCAGAATTGCTTTGCTGCTTCTGTGATGAGCTACTACCAGCAAGTCCTTCAGCCAGGTTTTTGAAGCTGAGCTCTTATCTTCAAGGGGTCTCTGAGGTTAAGCGTCGGGTTTCGGCCACCAACCAACTGGCTTTTCACTTACCAGTGAGTCACCTGGTTTTATTCTGACCTGGTGGTTTTCCATGCTGACCAGTCCATTCATCTGGGCAGTTTCCCCGGATTGCAGACCACTGCCGTCTGCATCAGGCAGAGTCCAGTACGATCCCAATGGGTCAAAATCGCGGCTGGCCAACTCAAATCGAGTTTTCAATCCTCCCAAGGTGTGTTCTCCTGTACGACTATGGCCTTGTGCAGACTTGCTGATAAGTTCAAATGGAAAATGCAGCAGAGTCAGATCTCACCGACAGCATCTCAAAAATGTATGTGATCGCCAAATCCCATCGGATTTTCTCCGGGACGCATTGGAGGCCTGGGAGACTCATGGGGGACGGAAGGTCCAAAGTGTATCGCATGAGTACTCAAGTTTTCAGATAGAACAACCGGGGTAGTGAGTGATGCGTGGCCCACAACTGTAATGATGCTTGTGGCTCTAAACTAATGAAATGAACAAATTATGACCAGCTACGGTGTTCAAGGATACAAGATCATTTTGAAAGAACTCCAATCAATGTTTATGAGATCGGCCATACAATTGGCACAACCACTAGATAATGATTTCCTATTGCGGAAAGTACTAATACCTGAGGTGGTCATGTGTTTGATTGCTGAGGACTACGACTTACCAGTCCTGGACCCAAGGGTCCGATCACATTTGGAAGACAGCCGATCTTTTGGCTCAGTTGTATTTCCCGACTCAGATGACGAATAGCCAAAAGCACATAGAACAACTGTTTTTCTCCAAACCCCTGATGAATTATGAACTTATTAAAAAAGGATAGATGAATTCACATGATTACATGCATTCTTGAGAAATGGAAGAAGGAGACATATCAGACTATTCTCATCATCCATCAGTCATGAAACTCAAGCACCTGGGACATAATCTTATCTCGCTGCATCCGACCAGCCAGAGTCTAGCACTGAGGATTTTTTTCTTGATTGAAGTGTTCTTCATCATGGTCATTTTCTGTACCTGCATCATCTAACTCGAATTTGTCACCTTGATTGAGGAAGTTATGGAGTACCGCGCATGCCTGACCAAAAACCTCTCAGTTGAACATATAAACATACAAATATCCAGTCACCAAAGGATTATTCACCTGGATCCAAGCATTAACTTGGATTTGATCATTCCTGCCATCAATCCTCAGGCAAAGTCCCTTTCAGCTCTGGAATCTTGCTTTCAGGGCTCCAATGCAATGCTCAACTAGAACCCTGTGTCGAGCAAGGTAGTAGCAGTGGTGGGCCGCTACGCTACACTACGCTACGGGCCCATGTAGCGTTAGCGTAGCAGCGCCATTTTTTTTTTGCGTAGTGTTAGCGCGCCGCCACAGCCGCTGCGCTACGCTAATTTGTAGTGGCGCTAACACTTGCCAATTTTTGGTGTAGTGTTAGCGCGCCTCTGGCGCCGCTACGCTACAGTGTTTTTAGCGGCAAAAAACGCCTAAAAACTGCTGTAGCGCAGCTTAGCGGGCGGTTTTTTGCGCCCTGCGCGCGTAGCGTTAGCGCAGATGGGGGGAATTGTGTTAACGCTAAGCTAAACGCTAGCGCAAGTTTTTTCCCCATGCGCGTAGCGTTAGCGCAGAAAATGAGAAAAGCGCTAATGCTACGCTAAATTGTAGTGGTTTTTCGCTACGGTTAGCGTAGCTGGCCCACCGTTAGTAGTAGTTGAACGAGACCTGTTCATCGGTCAGCTTTCCATGTGGTGGTTGTTTGAAAGCGGCGACAATTGTGGGTGTTGTAACAAAGGCTTAATCGGCTAGTAAGTATTCGCCAGGAGAAAAGAACTGATTGGGCTCCAAAGCAAGCCGGGAATTTCCCATCACGCGTTGGTCGTGTGAACAGCCCGGCCATCCAGTATAGAGGAAATTGATGTTACGGTTGGAATCACAGGCGATTAGAGTTGTAATGCCATATGACCCCTTGCGCGAGTAGAAATCAGACCCATTCTTGCTAGGGCATTCAGTAAGGGGTATGAGAACCCCATCGATCAACCCTACACAGCCGTCAAATCCCACCTCGGCATAGTTGGCTTTGATTTCCTTGCGATCTTCTGGGCTAGGCCACTGGATGATCTGAGTCTTGATTCGTAAGATTGCCATTATAAAACGGTTAGTACATAGCTCAAAAGTCCCCTCGCCCACTCCAAAAAATCTGGCAAGCATCCCTACAGATGCCCCGTTACCAAAACACCCCAGTCGCTCCAGCGCAACCATCAATTGTTCTTTGATAGGATGTTGGGGGTTGTGCGAGTTGCTCTGGGACACCGTATTGTTGCGAATCCGAGCGCAGAGCTTTGTAAAAGCTAATTGGGTCATCCGGAACTCCTGTTTGAATTGACTGGCCTCTAGTTTGTTCATGAGGTAGTCGTGAATGGCCGGCGGTTGCTCAAGGGTCTGGCAAGGTCTGAAATATCGTTTGGAGCAGATCACATGAAGCCAGATGAGCAGATTGTCAATTTCTTCCCAGTCCATATCGTACTCATCCTCGTCTGAACTACCGTCCTCCGACCCAGAGCTGATGTCCTCATCCAGTCCTAAGATTCCTTGTATCGCCATCACAGTCATCTTGGATTCCAGAGCGGCCTCGAGTGCCTTGATGCAAGGTTTCCTTTGAGAAAATCAAACCATGCCTGTGTGGGGTTGAAAATTTGGATGAGTTACAAACCGATGATTTTCAAATTTGGATTGCACTGACTGGTGACTGACCCGTCGGGGGGTTGTTTACTTACTCCTCAGGTACAGCCCCTGTCACATGGGATCACTCCTGAAAGAGCTTCCTGAATCATCTTTACATACAGATAATTGGGGGTTCAAAGTTGCAGGAAATGGTCCGATTTTTTTGGCAGGGACTCTTTTTTTCCAGAATTTTCTCCTGCAGCGCGACTTGGGGGAACTTTGAAACCCCCTATTATTGTAAGCATCTGTAGTCACTTCTGAGTTTCACAAGGGTCGCTTCTGGCAAATCCCAATTGTGAACCCCGCTATTGGATCTGTGACCCTTACAAATGTTGATTTAGACCCAAGGAAGTTGCTTAGTGGCTGACTTCCCATCAAAATCTGAGCCTCAAGAGTCAGATTTACCCACAAAAATCTAGACTTTACCAGAGATGAAATTTTCAAGATTATTTGTTTAACATGATATAAAGTCTAGAATATAACCAATTTGTCTTCAAAAAGTAGTCCAAAAAACTCAAGAGACATCATGCATGTAGGGGACCTTATTCATTCATTGTAAGATCAAAGCCAAAAGTTTTTTTTTTCATTCCTCTTGAAAAAGAAAAATCACACTCAACTGATTTTTCAGTCGCTTTGAAAACCAAAATATTTAACTATAAAAAGTGATTAAACAATGAAAAGCAGAGAGTTGTTTGTTTTCTAATATGTAATGTGTTGAAGGTGTAATACCTGTAGAAGGGAATACAAGCAGCAATGGCATCAGCAGTGAAGTGCCTGCTGCCACACCTGCTGAGCATGGTGTATCAGAAAGCAATAAAAGAAGTAATGCACCAGAGGACTGGAGCATTCCCTTTAAGAAGAAAAAGTAATTCTTTACTTTCATCTTCTGAAAGCAAAAGCTTACTTTCCCCAGAAGAAAGTACACAGGTAATTTCCTCCTGGATAAATTGTCTCATGGAGCTTTCTCCACAAGAAAGCAGGCTGCTGAGACCAATGTCTTAGCAGCAATATTCTTGTATAAATATCAGTTCCCTTTTCCCCCATTTTGTATCTCTCATCCATTCACTTATCATCTTATCTCATCCACTCACTTACACACACACATACCCCCATCATCAACTCACAACAACTACCACCAACACCAGTGTTTCCTTTCTAAGGGGGTATCAAATATAGGAAATCCACCATTAGAAACCAGTCACTTTTTTAAAAATATTTCTTTGCATCAATGGGCCGCAAAAGTGGTTAAATGAAGAACCAAAATGTTTAAAAAAGGGTGGATTTTTTCAAACCAGTCAATTAAATAATGGTGGATTTGGTTATATTTGATACCCCCTAATTTATTATTTTACAAATACACCAGAAATCAATAAACCACCCCTAAAACCTTACCCCAACAACAACATAATGTATTAATTAGTTTTCATTTCTGTCAGTGTATGATTTGTAACAGAAGTGTGAGATGTTATTTCAAAAAGATATCACTGAAGATTCAAATTAGAAAAATCAATTGTTTATTTACTTTTCTACTTCAACATATGTTTTGTGTAAGTTGATATATTTTCTTTATATTCAAATTTTTTAATCTGATTTGAACTAAATTATGATTATGAATGTTTTCTGAACAACTTTTTTCCCAATGAAAAATGGCAAAATATTCTGTGGCAGAAACTTAAAGCTCCATTAATTCAAGTTTTAATTACACCACGGTTGATGGGTTTTTAGACTGCTTCCAATAACACATCATAAGGCCCGATGTAATTTAGCTCTGGCATGGCTAGGGGCCTGGGGCTGAGGGGTTGATCCTATTTTTTGCTTGTTTGTGTGTGTGCACCCATCACCAGAGGCAATTCTGTTCTGAACACTGTACTGTTGGCATCCTTGACATCCATAATACTCCTTTGCACGGTCCACCAAGCAGCTTTCCCTTGTAGCTGAGTTGTAGTAGTTGCACTTGCCCCAAGTTGGGTAACCTGGGAGTGTGGTTTCAAAGACATTGAATCCTCCGCAATGGGCACATGTATTGTGGGCAGGGGCAAGGGAGGCGTAGGCTGTGTGAATAAAGCACAAGAACAGTATGTAACCTACAGTTTGGATATGCATTGAGGTTGATTGAGACTATGTGCAGTGTGCAATGGGAATTGAACTTGAGTTGAGCTCCTGGTTGTAGTTTATGGGAAGGAATGAGGTTGTAGTTCTATCTAACCGTTGCACTATTCTGGGGGCAACAGACCTCCACCCCAAGCTGATTATAAACACACCTTTTGGGAAATCAGATGAATGACCAATCAAGAGGGTCAAATACCACACAAAAGGGAAGTTGTGCTTTTTTTAAGCAATGAATGCAACTTAAGAAGATCTAGGTCAAAAGTATCATCAAAGTTATGAATAGGGACTCAGTTAAAATTAAACAGGGCATGTTTTAAAATCTTAGGATATCTTTTCCTGGTTTTCCACTTCACACCTTAGAGCTGAAGGTAGAAGCACCAATAGTACATTTGCGGACGGCATAAACCGACCCTGGATTTGGAGGATGTCTGAATAGTTTAGCTGAAAAATTAGATTTTTTTTTGTATTTACATGGTTTTCCAGCCCTTTTGGGGCCAAAGATTAATATAAAACTGGCTCAGAGTGTCGAATAAACACTCCAAGTTGATGCTACAGGCACTTGAAGGACCTCAAAGAGGTATAAGACCATGAATAAGCCTAACTTAAACCCATAACTATGGGTTCAAGTATGGCTTTTGGTATGCATGTCCGGATACATGTATGTCACACAAATAAAAAAAGGACCACTGCAGTAGAAGCTTAGTGGTTACAATTTTGAACTCTACACATCTGTAGGAGTTGAAAATTGTAATAAAAATAAGTATGGGGTACATGCCCCCCCGGGCATAGACCCTGTGTGTCAATCTTTGATTTTGCGGGCGGGGCATGTTCTGTTTTTGCCATCCGCAACTGTACTACTGGGCAACCTAGGCATTGATAAAGGTCCTTGAAACAGGACCAGGATATTTATTGAAGGCATTAGTTTGAGATGGTCTTGGGATATTGGGATATCCATTGCGGATACCTGTTATCTGCTGGTGGATACTCGCCAGCGGATGTCTCATTTACCCTGAGATCTTAGAGGTTATACAGGTATACAGAGGGATACCAGTCAGATGGACCCTCTTGGACTTGAGAATTTACCTTTTCAAGGCCAACTAGGCACAAACTTTTTGACCGGAAGGTCTTCCTTCCGGCCGACAAGGTACATGTGCCTTGTCAATTGGAAGGGTTTCCTTCCGGTCGACAAGGCACATATACCTCATTGACCGGAAGGAAACCCTTCCGGTCAATGGTAGGCTGCCCCCCCCCAACCGCTCTTGCTTTAAGGGGCGGGTATCTGAAGATACCCGCTTGGATACCTGCTAAGGCGGGGGGATACCCACCGGTAGATGTGGATGGTGGTTTACCTGGAAAAAGCAGCAGGATATCTGGCTGTGCCAGGGCCATCTCTAGGATTAGTCCCAAGGCTATTAGCGGGCACATCTCAACAGGACCATTCAAGGATTCTGAGTTCCTCATCCCAAAGATCACATTGTATCATGAAGGCCACTCAGCAGTAAAAGTAGCATTTTATTCGTATCAGTTTGAAATTTCCTATGAATATGAACAAGTGCCAGGGGCAGAGTATGAATCAAGTCTCCTTAGTACTGAAAGACCAGGCATTTTCTCATGGTCAATCATATGTGGGATTGTCTAGGGTCAAGAATGTTGCAAATCTATTTGTAACTCAAGTCGGTTTGGAGCAACACCGCAAACACTGTGCTAGGCATAGCGGTGAGCGTAGCAAATTTGGACTTGCTACCCTACACTATTAGAAGCGGTCTGTTTGCTGCACTTTTCACTGATTGAAAAGGGTTCAGAAATCTGGGGATTTCAGCGAGCTTTCTGTAGTGAGCAATAGCAGCAGTCCGCTACGCTTGGCACTGGAATAGCAGAGAGATCACTGAAAATGCGGTGAGGGGGGGTTATATTTCTATGTAGTTGGATCATGGGTGAGGTCTCTGGTCATCTTATATTTCAGGATGGATTGAAAATAAAATTGATCAATCAAAGTAAGTGGATGCTTGCTGCCTGAGGCTATCTGCAGTCTTAGTTCTAGCTGATAAGTTATATTGAAAAACTTAAACCATCTTTCCTCTAATACAAATAGGCTGTCAGAATTGGGTGAAGTTGTGGTTGAATATCAAACCAAAGATACTCTGTTGCACAAAATCAGTGAAAAGCGCATAAAAAGCAATGCCAGCCGCTATTCCGCTGGCAATATGCTATCTTGTAGCAAAAGCGGGAGAAAGTGCTCCGCTGCGCAGGGCCAAGATTCCATGTAGCGGTTTTTTCACTCCACTGGCGCTCTTATCAGTGGTTGGTTGCTATTGCTGACACTATTTAGTTTCTAAAAAAGCAATTGACTGCTGCACTGCGCTCAATGGCCGCCTTTTGTAGCACAGCACAGCGGTTGCAGTGTTGTTTGGAGTCAAGCAACAGTGGGCCGCTAAGCTACATTACGCTAAACGGCCCACTAACGTTAGCGTAGCGGCCCTCAGATCAGCGCTCTGTTAGTGCCACTACGCTACGATGCGCTAAAGCGCTTTTAGCGGCAAAAAAGGCCAAAAAACCGCTAAAATGCGCTGTAGCGCAGCATAGTGGGCCCTTTTTTGCGGCCCACATGCGGCGTAGCGTTAGCGCAGATACAGAAATCTGTGCTAACACTACGCTACAATGTAGCGTATTTGCGCTACACTATGCTAGGCGTAGCTGGCCCAGCGTTGCTGCCACTACACGGAAACCACAATGAAGAGAACCGCTCCGGACTACAAAGTAATCAATATTGATGAGATCTACTCCGAGCAGCAAGATAGCCAATCAGGAGCAAACAAGTGTAGCTTTGTCTGGACCACATTGACATCAAGAAGTGGAGCCAAAGTGGAGCTTTTCAGCCCCAGGTAAGCCGGTTTCAATTTTCAAAAACCTTTGTTTATTAGTATTTATTGATTATATTCTCATGGCAGTGATCTTCCCTCAAACCAACTAAAATCAAAGGACTCTTGTGTCTCAAAGACTGGTTCAAGGCCTTTGATGGGCCGTTTCAACGGTGGGCCAGCTACACTAACCGTAGCGTTAGTGTAGCGTAGTGTAGCTAAAATAAGCTAACATGTAGCGTAGTGTTAGCGCAAATCTGAAAATTTTCACTAACACTACGCACGCAGGGCGCCAGTGGGTGTTAGCTGTTAGCGTAGTGTTAGCTTTATTTCACTCATCCACACTAACACTACGCCCATGGGGCGCAAAAAAGTGTCCGCTACACTAAGCTACAGCGCTATTTAGAGGTTTTTTGGCCTTTTTTGCCGCTAACAGCGCTGTAGCGTAGCGTAACGCAGCGTAGTGGCTGTAGCGGTGCGCTAACACTACCCAAATAAAGGTGTGTTGTTAGCGCCGCTAAAAGTTAGCGTAGCGTAGTGGGCTGTAGCGCAAACTAACACTACACAAAAAAAGGTTGCTGCAACAGCAGCTACACTAACGCTAAATGGCCATTTAGCGTAGCGGCCCACCGTTGGCCGTTTTAATTGTTTTTTTTTGTTATTCTGTTTTTTTTTGTTCTCTTTTTCTTTTCCTAGTTATTTTTTTGCTTGCTTCCATGATTTTTTTTGCGGCTCTCAGAAATTATAGCCAAACCCCGGGGTTCCGGGGTTTTGCTAAGCATCATCCCAAGTCCTGAACCCCGGGGCTTGGACTCGTTAAAAACCCTGAACCCTGGGTATTGGGGTCATCCCTTATTTACTATATTAGGTGTATCTACTTATGTTTTGCTATACTTTTGTACATATAATTTCCTTAGGCAGACATTGAATCCAAGTCCCTATCTTTTTTATTCTTTCCAGACACCTACTTTTTACTCATTGTACTATTTTTCTCCTCTACTTTTGCCCTAATGTCGCCTTTGCCTTCTTCAGACATGCAAAACCTCATCAACCAATGTATTGTTGCTCTATCCTACCTCTTGCTGTTGCCTTCTTCAGACATTTAACACCTTACCAAAGGTGTGCTTGTTCCATCTCTTTTAATGCATTAATGAAATTTCTGTACACTTATCCCCTTGTGCATATAAATTCCTTCAACAAACATCAAATTCAATTTCATTTCAACTGTAGATGGCAAATTTAAGTGAGACACAATAAGTTGCGCAACCACAGACATCAAATCCAATTTCATTTTGACTCTAGATGGCAAATTCAAGTGAGAGGCAATAAGTTGTGCAAAAGGCAAAAGAATCAAAAGATATAGAGGCTCATCTTTGAATTGCCATAAGGCAAAGACCTTTTGATCCTGAACATTGTCAAAGGAGATGTAACTGGTACTTGGTTAATTAACACATTAAATTTTTCTTTGCGCCTGCCTTCAGTTTTGACCCAACAACTCTTCCTTTAAGCTTGTCAATTCCTCCCTGTATTCTAACCGCGTGTTCAACTATGGCCTCTGATCCACTGCTGTATATTCCTTGGGCCCAAGCACAAGACCTGAACAACCTCAATCATGATTCATTCCCCTCAAGTCATTGGCTTAACCCTTGCAACATTCAATGCCACCATTGCAACTCCCTCAATTGGCCCAAGGAACTTGCTTTGATCAATATCAAATCAAAAACTAACTCTTTTGCCATGTGTTGTCAAAAGGGGAAAGTTAAACTGCCTTGTGCTGATGTTACGGCACCTCCAATTCCTTTATTTCTCAAGAACCTACTCACTTTGTTGGATCCCTAGCTGGTAAGCCACTTGACATGATTCAATAATCCAGTCATTGGGGCTAATTTCCTGATGTTCTTCACCCAGAGTCAAAGATTTTTCAAAAATTCATCCGCACCTACAATAATTCTGTCTCTTTCACTTGTCTTGGCTTCACCTCCAGCGACTTGGGATTTGAAGGAGCATATGGCCATAATAAAAGTAAGTTCAGTTTTGTTTGATATACAAGTAAATGCCAGTTGGTACATTGAAGTATACCTCAGCTAATTAAGGTTGATTTTATGTGCAGGTCCTCACAGACAGCCCAGTTGGGGTTTGTTGGAATTATCCAGCTCTCTCGCTCATAATTCCCTTTTTCTTTCTTTGCTTCCTCCCGCTCCGCTCTTTTCTCCACTCCCGTTCCCTCTCCGCGCCTTTTCCCCGCTCCCGCTCCCCTTCCGCTCTCTGCTCTCAATCTGTATCCTCTTTTCCCCATCTCGTCTCATATTCTTCTTCCTCTCTCTTCTAATCAAGACCTAACCGGCTCCCACTCCTCGATCTCAACCACAAATCCCATCAAATACAGATCACTCATCAACCACAAGCCGACCCTATCACTCTCTCGTCGATTCATCTATAAAAGCCAACACAATGGCCTCAATCGATGTCAACTCAACAGTCTCTGTCAACGATCAACTACTTTCTCCCTCGATCGACTAACCTCCTCCACTCCTACACTGTTCGACTGTTCTCTCAACTCTCTCCTCAAAACATCCTTCGTCCACCATTCCCCTAAACATTCCTCTTTGACTCCGTTTCTTCTCTTCTCTCGTTCTCTTCTCTCGTTCTCTTCTCTCTCTCTCTTCTCTCGCTCCTTGTTCACTCACACCAACGACGACAATACCTTCTTACCTCCTCAACTCAGCACTCACTCGTCCTTGTTACACCGACTCTCTCCCTTGAATTTCTCTCCTGGCTTTTGAAAGTCCCTCAACATTTCCTTCCCCAAAAAAGCTTTGATTAACCTTTTTCTCTCTATTACCTCTTGTCTCAGTGTCTACTACGTGTCATTGTTTGACATTGTCTACTTCAGTCTTTCTTCTCTGTCTAACTCAAAAATAAACTATCATCGTGGTAAATTTACTCATTCATTATTTGTTTCACTTTCATGTTTTTGTACTTATCTTTTTTGAATACTTCTCTAACCTTTGTTTTTTGCATTCTTAAGTTCTGGTTCTAGTAAAAATTATAATTCCTGTTTTTCATCAGGGTTGGCAGTCAAAATTCTACGCTTAAAGGACCAGGACTCACCCCAAAATCTAGCCCCACAAACAAAGGAAGGAAGTTGTGAGTTCCATGCTTAGATGAGTCGCGGTCATTAGCTAAAATTTGATTGTAGCATCAACTTTGAAGAAAAGCCGCTGCTTGAAGTAGAATATGAAGGGCAAAGCGGTTGGGGGAACCCAATATTCCAAGGAGGCATTAGAGAAGATAGGGGTGAAGGGACCAGTACCAAGTCTAATAAAGCGAGTCAGGTAGACTCAGAAGAAGAAGTCCCATTAGCAATGACAATTGACGGTAAAAGAAAAGGAAAAGGACTTGAGACGTCTCCAGCACCAAAAAGAAGACGAAATAGGATGGGAGGAGTTTAAACTTTTTGTCTTAGATAGACTGTTTTTTGTAACATATGTTTGAGCATGTGAAATCATAATTACCGTTGAAGGGGAGAAGGAAGGTTTCATGAGATACAAGTGCATCCATTTTGATCTTATGTCCAGGTTACCTTCAAAACTGTGTATTAGTCTAGTTTTACAATTATTTCTGAACAGTAATTTTATCCCAGTGCATAAAATAAAAAATGAATTGTGTGGAAGGAATTGTTTTTTCAGATTATCCACAGTACCATCAGATGAAGTTGTAATCATGCCACCATTGATGTCATTGTAATTTTTTCCAAAAATTAATTGTAAGAGCTGGGTTAATTTTGCCTTAGTGGGTCCCTATGCCAGGTATTCAGGTGTCAATAACAATTTTTGCTTGTTTGTGTGTGTGCACTTGTCACCAGGATTACATTTATTCTGAAGAGTGTATTTTTGGCATCTTTGACATTTGTAATACTCTTTCTGGCGCTCTACAAAGCAGGGTTCACTTGAGGTTGAGGTGTAATAGTAGCATGATCCCTCAGTTGGGTAACCCGCAAGTTCAATTGGTAAGATGTCAAATGCTTCACAATGGGCACATGTTGTGTGGGCAGGCCTCAGGGCAGCACAAGCTGTGTGAATTATACCCAAGGAAATTATGTGGGTTATGTTTTGAATTTTCATTGAGTATAATTGAGACTATGTGTAGCATGCAATGGGAATTGAACTTGTGTTGAGGTCCTGTATGCAGATGATGGGAAGTACTGAGGTTGAAGCGCTATCTAACTGCTGTGCTATCTGGGAGGCAATGGACCTTTACCCCAAGCTGCTTATAAACCAAAATTTTGAGCAATCAGATGAATGACCAGCCAAGAGGTCTAAATATAACAATAAACACCCCCTCATGCCCAAGAATGCCTCTTATGGACAAGCACCTGAAATTGTGAGCTTGGGATGCACAATCACTGTTTTTGATTAATTTATCCAGGGTGAATGTCAGACACTGAGACACTAGTCCATGTGTCTACATGAGATTGTAACCCCTCCAGGCTACATAATAATAAATATTATTATATGTATTCTTTAAATTAATAATGATTTACCTCTGTACATATTTATCTCTCTCTCTGGATAATTAATGTACCTCTCTCATGAAAATAATAATCAAATTGCAAAGGATAATTATCTCTTGTGTGTATCCAAGAGATGATTATCCTGTTTATCTCTCTTGTGTGAATATATATTCTGTTTATCTCTCTTATGTGTATTTTCTGAAATAAAGGATATTCATCACATGTACATTTAACATGCTCTGAATATCCTGACACTTTCCCCCAAGGAATGGTGCACCAATAAGGGGACTGCACTGGTCCCAGCAGCAGATTGACCCCTGCTCTGTAATATTTAAGAGGATGGCTCTCCCCCTGAGATTCATCCCCCAGACAATTATTACCATACAAACCCAAGTACCTTACTATAATACATATAAATAGTGAGTGGGGTTTTAAGTAGTTTATTGTTAGTTTAACTAGTGTACTTTCCTCTTATTATTATCACTAGTCTATATAAGTTAATTCTTTAACTTTATAGACTAGTAACAACCCTTTTCTCTTATATTCTCAAAAGCTCAGGCACTGTGAAGCTCATCCCACAGTTGTCCCTTATTCTTATAAGGAGCTAGCCCCTCCACTTTACAAGTGTTGAGTTGGGCTTATTTCCACTGGCCACTCTTTGGCTATAGTGTGACCCAATACCCTATCAACTCTTGGTCACATAAGAGACCGGAGTTGACAGTGAATTTGAATTTTAACTGGGAACAGCAGACCTAGAGGACAAAAACCTATCTACCAATTATTATTATACATTCAATTTA